CCCCCCCAAAAAAAAACAAACATATTAATAACAGAGGAACCTTTGTGTTCTTGTCTGTATTTATTATTAGACTTTTTTTTGTCTTTTCCCTGGATGTTTTGTTGGAGATGAACCCTCTAATGTATAATTGTAAGGCCTGGGCTCAACATCATTTTAGCACTAAAATCAGCTTGTAACACAGCTGAGATTCTCTTTTAGATGGATGCACACTCAACTGTTGTCGGAGACGGTGCTTGACGGCTTTTTAGCAGCTTGGTAACCACTGAGTTCAGACCTGTAGCTGAAACCCTCGGTGTGTGCTTTTAGTGCCAAGATGACTTTGGAAGCTCAGGCCTGGTTAAGTTCTGTGGAGAGCTTTGCGGTGATTTATGTTGGGGGTGGTTGGGTGTTGTTTGACTTGAGGAAGGTCTCTGGAAGGCCACGGTTGTCGAGATAATGCTGAAAGTCATTATATTAACATTAACCAATGGGTTGGTCAATTCTGTGAAATTGTATCAAGAAAATGTTTTGTCCTGTTCAAAGGTGATTTATTCAGGCTGACGGCCTCGCCTCACTGAGTAAGAGAGAGCTTTGATATCTTTCTTTGTTAACTCATGGTGCCTTTCAAGAAGCTGTTTGTGTTCTNNATTGTACTTGTGCTCTCTCTCTCTCTCTCTCTCTGTCTCTCTCTCTCTCTCTCTCTAATAGATAATAGATAATAGAGGTGTGTCAGAAATAATTTATAGATAGAAACACATACTCGCTCTCTCTCTCTCTGTGTTCTCTGTCTCTCTCTCTCTCTCTCCACTGTGTCTTCAAGACTCCAAACAACGACTCATTATAGGTTGCAGAATGTCTGTCTGTGTAGGAGGGATGCTCATTCACATACAGAACATACTGTGGTAGACATGGTAAATGAAGACTTTTCAATTGCCTACCAAAGACAGCACTCAGGCTCTTGTTAGATCTTATACCTTTGACTTGTCACCTGTAGACACAGTATGGTGCATCCTTTTTACATCACAGGGATGAATGAAGACAAGACCCAGGATCATACAGACATACAGACTGCTGTTTTGTACATGCTTCACAAATGCTACGCAAATAACCGAGGCCCCAGAATGGCCTGAGGCACCTGCACTGTTACCTGTATTTCTTATGACATTGATGTTCTGCAATGCACAAATGTGAATAGGGATACATGGGTTTGTTCTGGGTTACCTTCCCTATTGATTTGTCCAGTGATTCCTGTTTGTGTTGCCAATCAGTGCTGCTGAGCAGACTTGAAGTCAAATTCTGTTTTCAACACTTTAATTTGGGAGTGTTTGCTTAGGCCTGTCTTTACTGCTCAGTGGTCAGCTTTATTGAGGCCACTGAGCCGGCTCAGGTGAACCTCTACCAGGTAGGTAAAAGCATCTTGAATGGTATTTTGACCCAGGTCTGTTACTGAATGAACACTCAAGTTTGGTTCGGTGGATAAGGCTACATGCTGCAGTCCTCCCCGCATTGTTTCTGTTCTTCCTCTCCGGGTTCTGTTTCTCATTCTTCACCAAAACTCCAGTTTCTTGATCCTAATTTGAACACTAGTGCCAGATATAATTTGTAATTTGTGCAGAATGGCATAAGGTATTTGTATATGTGTTTGGTAATTTGCTTTACTATATGCGTGTAAATGCATATCAGAAAAATAAAAAAACTATATGAAATGTTGTCGTCCCATTCTGTTTTTCAGGTTTATACAAGTACTGTAAATGATTAGGGTATTCCACTTTTATTTTTATTCAACTATTTCATTTCATCTTTGCACAGAGAAGAAAACCTTTACATTTTCCAGTTTATTGAATAGCCCTCTGTGAATATTATACATCTCTACTGAAATATGTTAAAACCACAGTGAAGAGACGCTGTGAAATTATTGCCTCTCGCCCTGCGTCACCCTGAACTAAATTTGGTACATTCATGTAGAATTGATAAAACACTTTAAAACAAAGAATGGTTTGGATTCAGGCTTCAATTTTGGATGACTGGAATATTCAGTAGTTAATGACTTAACAAGGACAGAATGTCTTTAAATTAGTAAATAAGTGACATTTTAAACAATTACGTGCATGTAGCTAAGTGAGTATATGTATGGTTTATGATGCATAAATCCAAGCCATTTAACATTTTGATAAAAGCTACTGAATGACATAAATATACTCTCTCTGTTTAGGAGTATCTGCACACTCACCAAAATGTAAGTCGACCCCTAGTCTGAAATCCAAGGCACACATCTCGTAAAGATGCTGCTTCTCTCCACTGTGTACACATCTGCATGGCTGAACTGCTGTGAAGATGGATATGCAGCTGTGCGCTGGCTAATTTGGTAAACAAACAGGTTGAGCAACTTCATGTCCTTATGGAGAAGACACAAACACCAACCAGCCTTTAAGAGTGATTTTACGTTAGAACTCAGATCTGCTAATTGCATAGCTGGATAAACAACAGCGCGTCTGAGTCATGTAAGGTTACAAAGGTATTTTCTCCTACAACATAGTCAGTAGATATCAGTTCAACGCAGACTGTCGTCATACCGCACACAGCAGCAGTAAGGTATCACGCAGGCCCTTTTCTTCCACAGAGATAATACAGTACAGATGATCATAATATGACTCAAAACTCAGAAACATTTTAATTAGCTCGGTAGCAATGCTACACTGAATGCACTGAATATCATTTCTGTGTCTGACTGAAGCTCGTTTATCAAATAACTGATATCAAAAGACCAAACGGGTTCAAGAACCAGAAACAGCTGAGCCTGTCCTGAGCAAACTCAACTGCCTGTAGGGAAAACACTTGCCTGTAGCCTTACATAACATTGTACATTGGACCCTATTTATCAATACACTAGAAAAGGTCCACAGTGTCCCCCTGTCTGCCCGCTGTACAATGCAAATGGTTAGTGGTGGTACAAAAGTAAATCTGCATAGCAAAATGTTCTGGAGAGAAAAATATATTCCTTAAACCGTCACTCAAACATACAGTGATCAGATCATTTTACAGCACGGACCAGTAGAGTGAATGTGACTCCGTTCCACTGCATCGCTCCGGGGCACGTTCTGCAGCTTCCTGCCTTTGTGTACTCAGTCCTTGTGCAGTGTTTTGCATAGATCCAAGAGTTGTAGTGGTGCAGCAGCTCATGCAGAGAGAGCAGGGGCAGGAGGCTCAGATGTATTTGTTGGCCAGGTTCTGAACATCGTTCTTAGTGAACTCGGCGCTCTCCACGGCCGACAGATGCTCAAACAGCTGAGTCATGTGGCGACGCTCCTCCTTCTCCAGCAACATCAGGACAACCTGAGAAAAAAACAGCATTTGTCACCAAAACTGTTGAAAAACGTTGCTGGGGACAAAGTGGACGGATTACTTATAAAACAACATTCATTCATTAATAGATGTAGTAGTTATCAAATTGAATGTGTGCTCTGTGAGGAGACGTGACTAAATATATTTTTGTCTTTTCAGATTTGTGAATTACAAAACCCCTTCCCCAGAGCCAGAGCTGCAACGATGAGTCAATTATTAAATTAATCACTAACTATTTTGATAATTGATTCATCATTTGGAGTCATTTGTTAGTTCCAAATTAGCTCCAAAATTCAGCTTTTCAAATATGAATATTTCCTGGGTTTCTTTAGTCCTCGGTATGACGGTAAACTGAATATCTTTGGGTTGTGGACAAAAACAAGACATTCGAGGACATCACCTTGGGCTTTGGGAAACAATGATCAACATTTTTCACCATTGGATGATATTTCCAGGACCAAACAACTAATCGATTAATCGAGAAAATGATTTACAGATGAATTGATAATGAAAATAATCAGTAGTTTCGGGCATACCGAGAACCTTTGGGCAGTGTGCAGATGGTTGAGGTGTTGGTAGACCAGGTTGGGGTCTTTCTCCAGGAGGTGGGAGTCCAGAGCCTGCATGATGAAGCTGATGTTGTGTCCATCCAGCTGGGTGCTGAGGAGCTGGGGAAGCCTCTCCGGGGTTGTGGAAGCCAGCAGGTCAGCGCAGGCCGCTGCGTTCCCGCTGCAGCGAGCTGCGTTCAGGGCCTGGCCGAACTCGTAGGCATCGGTCGGCTGGAGGTTGATGCTGACGTCCTCTCCTCTGCAGCTGCTGTCTGAGTTACGGACGGCTGACGTTTCCTCGTCACCCTCGACCTGAAGAAAAAGAAAAAAGAATGTAGGCAGTTGTTATGAAGCCAAGAACATACTCTGAGTTATTCACAATCTTTCAGAACTCCTTTGAATGTACCTCCTTTTGAATAAATCATTTGGTTTTGGCGCAGTAATCCACTCTGAGATGTACTGGTTTTTAATTTCAACTGGCTCTGGCCTTGTCTTTTGGAGCGTGCTATCACAGAGATAGCAGCACACAGTGCACAGCAGCAGCTATGTGTCTGATAGTGGGAGCCCTTCTGTGGGCATCAAACACTCAGCTAATTAATCAGTACAAAAGATGAGACACTGCTTGGAAACAAGTCAGGATGCAACAAGGTGTGTATATAGAAAAAGCATTCTGATCTAATTCATCAGACACACAGCTACATTTTTCTTCCACTGAAGTTGTTTGTCTGGACACCTGAGGAGCAGAGGGGAAAATAATTAGCACTTTAACTCGCTTTGATTTTCTTCACCAGCACTCGTTCACTGCCAGTTGGTGCTGGGCAGATACCTTACTAATTGGCTTGTTGCTGCCTGCAGGTTTCATGAGTGGTTGTTGACAGCAGAGAGACTCCATATAACCATATATTCTCTGTGTGGCTGGAAGACTCAAAGATTGATCTCTAAGTGGTTCTAAACTCAGTGATGTCAGCCCTATGAACAACCCTCACACTCAGTCCTTTCATTCAGCGTTAATATACTTTATATTTGACCGATGGTTACCTAAAAAGAGTGAAATATGTGTGTGACGTGCCAGCGATTTCTCTGCAGTGGATGCAGAGAGAGGGCTAGTGACATGCACAAAGGTTTATTCTATGCTATTAGTCTTAACCACCAGGCTGCCAATACGCCCCATCCTGAGTTCCCACTATGACCACATGTACACAAATCCAATATAGATTGTAAGAATGTCAAGAGTGGGTGTGTCTATTTTATGAAAATGAGTGGAAACAAAGAGAATCCCACTTTCCGGGTGAGCAGTGCACAGTATCTGATTTGAATCCAGATTAAAATATTCATTAAAAATGCAGGTGTAGAGGTGTGTCTACCTCTGTGATGGGGACTGTCTTTCTGGGTTTGGTTGGTGAAGCGTTGGACAGACTCTGTCTGAGCAGCACTGTGACCTCCTCCAGCTCCTTCTCAGCCTCCTGCACGTTGGGATCCTGCTGCAGTACCTCCTGCAGGTCAGAGCTGCACGCCAGGTAGTCCTGGAGGAGGTCAGACACAGTACAGCTTTCAGCGACATTTTACAGAGTTTAAATATTGTAGGAGGGGTGTGAGAAATTCAATTAAATGCCTCTTTCACACACAATTAGTGGTGAATTTAAAGATTCCCCCCTCAGCCCTCTTTTTAAATGAACACATATCCTCGTGGTATTAGTTATTCATAGCCAGCTCTCTTCACCTTGAGGCCTTTATTGGCCATTGCTCGTCTGTAAAAGGCCTTCTTATTGGTTGGCTCCAGTTTCAGTGCTGCATCACAGTCCTGCTTGGCCTCAGTAAACCTCTCCAGCTTCAAGTAGCACAGGGCTCTGCAAACACAAACACACACACACACACACACACACACACACACGTCACTTGTGATTTTTATTTTTGTCACCAGCAGCTAATCTTATTTGATGCATGACTAAAAGGTATCTTGAGTTTGTGACTCATCGACTGCGGATCAGACTTGACAATAAAGGCTGAAGGCGTGAAATAGATCATTTTCATATGAAATGGGTGAGATCTCTGACGTCTATCTTTGTTTCCTTCATGAATGTGTTGTCTGTAATTTCAGTCAAACGGCTCTCAGCAGCTGTGCGGCAGTGCCTGTTTGCTCTGGTGGGGCTGTACATACAAGGTTTCCACAGCAGAGCTCGACATACATACGCAAACATAAACACACAATAGGACATTTTTCATGTCAGCATCAGTTTCCTCTGAGACGCAATCAACAATCTACCTGCTATTGTGAAAAAGAAAAGGGGGAGGCAGTTAGGAGTCAGAGTGGAGTCAGACCGGCCGCTGCATGCACTGCACTCGCTGTATTTCTCTTTAGATGTAAGATAATATGATAGCGGCTATACGCGGAGTTGTGATAAACAGCGCTGGAGCAGGCAGCTGTTTCCTGCCTCGGCCATTCTGTTCCAACTTACCAACAATACATGCTAATTTTCTCCCAGTGACAGACTGACGACTGGTTGGGATTAGCTACAGAGCTGGATGCTCCGCCTGACAGATGACAGCTGGGGATAATTAATCAGTCTGTTTTAATTTATCCAAATGGATAAACAGATTTTCTGTGTGTCTTCTGACATTCCTGCTCTATAAGAAAACCAACCCTGAGAAATATGGAGTAGTAGTGAGGAACAGAAAGTGAAAGAGACCACAGCAGTGTTTGTGTTTGTTCATGTCGAGTTGGCGCCTCTAACCTGTTGGTGTAGATTGCACACTCTTCTGGCTTTAGCTTAAGGCATTCAGTGTACTTTCCAAGTCCATCCTGGTATTGGCCCTTCTTCACAAATTCGTTCCCTTCTTGCTTCAAAGCTGTAAAACGGACTTCTGCTTTCCTTTCTGGAAGACAAAGTGAAGTGGTGATTATAGCGGCTTATTCACACAAAGAACTCAACTCTGCTTTCTGCTCAAGTAATGAATCTATATTGACACGTGCAATACATTTGAATTTGCCTCCCTTTTATTTCTAAAAGGAACCCAACACAAGGATATATATGCCAGTTGTCCATGATATAAAGCTTGAGGGTTTTATACCCTTGAAATGAATGCTGCGCTAGCTGGACGTGAGGCATGAGAGTTAAGTCAGCAATCAGTCACGGTGTGGACTAAGGGCTAATCAATCTGCTGCAAAGTGTCTTCTGGGAGGAAAAACTGTGCCAGCAGGTCTATTCTTTCATTAGAGTTTAAAAATAACAGCTGTAGCACAGCCTGGGGAATGGAGAAACTGCATGGTCAGTGAACAGAGGTGACACATCCACTTATGTAAAAATTAGGCCTTTAACATCTTCCTCCTATCTTAGTGCAGAGTGACCGAGAAGCAGGAACAAGCTGAGTCTATTCTCTTCTCTTCCTCTGTGCTCTTGTCAGCAGTTGAGTAAAAGTAGCAGTACCACAAAGTAAAAATACTCCCTTACAGGTGAAAGTCCTGTGTTGAAAATGTTACCCAAGTATACAAGTATTATTTTTAGCTCAAAACTTAATGTACTCAATGTTGTCAGTGTGGGTGTTCAGCTTTGATACTACTGGATAATTCTTATTCATACATGTCATTACATACATTTCCATGTCATGTTACTGTAGTAGCTTGTCAAGGTTTAAGTTATTTTCTAACACTGTTGTGTAGCCAAATCTATAATAATTATAAACCCATCATGTGCTTTGTGTGAAAAAATGGAATTTGAAATAGTTAATGTTGAGCATAAATGTGATCAGCAAAACTGTTTTATTACCTAAATGGAGACACACATGCTTTTAAAACCATGAAGGCTTTTCACACGGGCACTTCCCAGCTCAGAATACACACAGGCTTCAGGAAGCGTGGGGCTATTTTCCCCTTATGTCACACGTATTTATGAATCCAGAGTTTGCATTAGGATCAAGGATAAAGTCCCTCTCCGCTCAAAAATGTTCTTGTTCCTACGGTTGGATGTCTGAGCAGAGTTTGACGTTAGACGGATGTTTTCAAGTCATCTGAAAGTAAAAAAATGTTTCTCTGTGCTCACTGAATCTAATCTAATTTAAAGGGGCATGATTTAAAAACATCAAAAATAGTTTGCAGCATATTCAAGTGTGACGTAGAAACTTGAAGCCACCAGTGCACATCCACTGAAATGGACTTTACAGTGAAGGAGGAGACATCTTTAGACACACATTATTCCAAGAAAACAGACCTGCATCCCTGGCCGCCTTCTCTGCCCGAGCCTGGAGGACCTCTGCGCTGAGTGGCTCCTCTCTGCGGTGCTGCTGAGCTGACAGCGGCACCAGGGGAATGTCCGGAAGTTTCTCCCTCCACTCTGTACCGTCCTGCTCGATCAGCAGCCGGGTGATCCTGAAAGAGGACGCAGATCAGTCAATACAGTCAATACACGTACTGTACGCAGCCACACACAGACCAGAAAGGAACTGTGTGCGATTAACACCTTTCTACTGTTTAGTGTGTTTGTTTAAGTATCCCACTGATCAGTTTTGTAGATATATATATGGACTTATACTACAGCTATGACCGTCCTTGTGTTCGGTACTCCTCAACACAAAGCAGCCAGGTGAGTTTCCCCTATTGCATAATAGAGAGAGGACATGCACTCTGAGAGCCATAATTAGCCTCTAGCTGGAGCTGCTTCTGAACACCACCTAAATCTGTTAGCCACTAATTAGACATTGTATGTTTGTTCATTTAAATCTCTTTTAATTTAGTCTTCTGATTATGTTACAATGCAATTTCTGGATTCAGAGTATATAATAATATTATACAAGGCAGGTAGAGCGATAAAATCCCCTTATATCTGTCCTCTGTTTATCTCCTTATCTAAGACACCTAATGACGTTGTGTCAGCCAGAGTTAAAATGGATAGAAAGTACACTTTCATCATAGCTCTCTTTATCAGCACAAGTAAAAGGGTAGTCACAGTCGTTGGAATAGCTGCCATGCAGGGATGTAAATAGGTCTGTTAAAGCTCATTCAGTCAGTTATGTGTTTCAGCACAGACATCTCCCTACCCTGTGCAGCCTCTCAGCGGAAGTGAGAGGTGAAGGCTAATACCTGTTGACGCTGTCGTGTGCTGCCTGCACACTGATGTCTATCTGCAGGACGGTCTTGTAATCCACGTAGGCCTGACGGTAGCGCTCCAAAGACTCATAAGCCATGGCCCGGCGCAGGAGGGGCTTGAGGGAGAACGGCTGCAGCTCCAGGGCTCTGGTTGGTATAAATAGATGTAATGAGACAGGAGCAAAGGATCAAGTCTGCTGCCTCTGCTATAGATGCTACTCTTTGAGAGTACTGTCTGTCTGGATTGGGAATCTATATTTATGTGACAGATTTCAGTGGATGTGCTCTTGTGTTTCTGTGTAAGTATACAGTACAGCCGTATATGTGTGAATGAACTGTCACACAACTTAATTTTCCTGTTTGTCCCTGGAAGTCGAATCTTGAGCAAACACACCAAGTGTTTAAAGGCTTTCACGTGGGAGGTTCCCTCAAGTTCTCCTGAGTTTGCTGCTTATAAAACCACTTCTAAAGAGATTAATGGAAATCCCTTACAACACACCCCAGTGCAAATCCCCTCATAAAATGACAGTGATCTGCAACTGAGGTATGCTAAATGAGTATGGCTGTGTACAAAACAATTAGAAATCTCTGTCGAATTCTCAGAAAACATTATGTCTCACTCCACTTCACATGGTCCTACAAATAAACTGTCTCACCTCGTGCAGTCCTGTATGCAGTCTTGACTGTTGCCATCTTTCAGGTAGCAAGCTGCTCTGTTAGAATACAGAATACTTAGATCCTCTGGACTATCAATCCCTGCATAAAAAGAGACAAATATCACAAATACAGCATATACAATACTTTGTAAACACAGCTCGGAAACACTTCATGTAGCTTGCCAGTCCATTTAGAACTTATATACAAAATATTTGTAAAAGTGGCAAACAAGTCCCCCTCCACTTTTCCGTCTTGTTGTCTACAATTGGATGTTTGAGCTTCACTGTGCAGTACGACGCGTATGTGATAGTTTGGCTCTGGCCGCGTGTCCTGCGTCCAGTATCAACTGTGTACAGTGTGATGTAGAAACTGAAGCCCACCAGCTGCACTATTCGCAGCTGAGGAATGGACTGTTACGCGCAGTGGGGAACGGGGAGGAGACATCTTTGTGTCCAGCAGGAACACTGTGATGAACGACATTAGCATATTCACCGATTCTGGAAGGTTTAATGAGGCAGAAGGAGGAGATGACTTTTTAAGGGTTTTACTGCGTAATTATACTGTTTTGTCACGCATTATTTTTCAGACTATTTGTATAGGTCTTCATACATGTCTGCTGGGGATCTTTAAATAGGCTTTAAAGAACCTCTTGGATAGCTTAAGTGTGTCTTTGTATGGTCTGTATGTGTTATGAATCTTTATCTTTATAATGTTCAGAGGTTACTGGCTGAATCAGACAGTTTGATGTGTTCTGACCTGACACAGAACAATATAAACCTGGGAGCGTTGCTTAATAAGGACACCGATTTTAATTAAAAGTTTAGTGTCTCTTATACTGCCAATATCTCCACCTTTGGTGCTGTATGTGTGTCTGTGTGTCTGTTGCAATGACGGGTTCCTGTAATGACTAAATAAAGAACTTTTTTTGTTGCATCAGCATTAGAAGCCTGACTTTCAAAACCACTCAGTTGTAAGATACTAACCTGACATTTTTCTGCTTCAGACTGATGAATGCAAGATTATTTTAAAGCTGCATTCACACATGCAACGCTGTGCTCACAGGTCTTCTAATCTGACTAACTTGTTTGTTTGTTAACTGAACATGTTACCTGAGGTATGAGTCTGGACTAAGTTCCCCAAACTCTTTGTTGGGACCTAAAACAGGCAGCAGGCCTACCATTTCTTCCACTAAGACATTCTGCTACTATACAGGAGAAACTCTGTGAGCTCCAGGGCTGATAAGTAAAACAAAAGATGTAGATGTTGACCAAGGAAAAGGTCATCAAACCTGTTTTAGGATGTTTTCTCCTGATAGTTTAACAACTTGCTCACGCGGACTGCAAACAGAGTATTTGCTATTCTCTCCACAGGTATTTCACTCTGTTTTCACAATCGTTATCACTGATGCAGGATAATCGAACAGACCTATACTGTATATTACAGTAACACTAAATACAGTCAGCTTAGCATGCCACCTCATCAGATGAAACTAGATTATGGATGATGACACAGTGAGGCGATGATGATGATGATGATGATGATGTCTCAGCAACAGCTCAAACTCTGTGAGGTTACTGTGACAGTAGAGCATGTACAGCATGTTAGAGGTATAAACTGGGGCATCCATAGACAGACCCAAACATGACTGTGAGACCCTGTAAAAGCCTGGCTGAATGTCAGTACTATGAGACCTGCATCATGTTTAAGTAGTTTAAAGGGGTCCCACTGTAGCCCTCCCTACATCAGTCAGATGACGGACCCTGCATGGTGTTGATGTCCAGTCACTTTCACATTCAGCAGTGGATATCGAGCACATTATGGCAGAGAGAGTATGCTTGATGGTGGATGTGCCTGGCACGCAGCAGTTTTTCTCCCTCCATCAGTCGCTCGCTTACTCCCTCTCGGTGAGAATTATAGCTGCAGTCCTACAGATTCAATTTCACAGTGAGTGGTTAGCGGTCATGTGACCTGGACAGACCTGAGCTGAGAGGCTTAGCTCCGGGCTGAGGGCTAAAACAGAAACACTGTCCATATACACCACCATCCAACAGCCCCATTGTGACGCACTGCTGTAGGGACAAAGTCACTAAATACACCAACAAACAGCCCAACAATTCAAATCTTTGTTACTGTTACTAGACTGTGTGTACAATAATGTGGACTGCTTCTGGGAGAGATCATTTCTGTTGCTTAGGTATCATTTCTCTCATGGAAAATATCCCTTTTGTCACGTCCTGCACTGTGATAAAGCAACAAAAAATAAATTGCAAGGTCATGACCTTTGATTTACAAATGCAGTGGCAAGTTACAGGAAATTGTCTCTTAAGAGCATTGATGATTAAACCCCATAAAGAGATATTTATTCAAATATGGGTGTGAGTGGTGATGAAACATCAGTCAGTTAAACTATGGGCCATTTGATACAAGTCCCAGCTGGTTTATAACACACTGCTGTCAGTATGAATGTTGTTGTTTACTGACATGAACTGGCAGCAGATAGTTAACTTCTCTCCAATGTCATACATCCAACCGAAACCTTACACACTGTGTGACTGAACTACCAGCAGCCACCTCATACTATAACAACAAGAACAGCATCAACTGTGAGGACTCGGCCCCCCTACCTGAATCTGTGTAGCCTTGAATGGCTTGTGAGTATTTCTCCAGTGCATCGGCAAACTGTCCGTTTTTAAACAGCAGGTTTCCTTCATTCTTTAGTCGGGACAGAGGTGGGGGCAGGGCTCCACATGGGGCATCAAGGTTGACAGTTTCCCCTGCGTTTCCTCCAGCCGAAGTCCCTTTACCGCCGCCGCTCTGATCAGCCTGGACTGACGCTGTCGAACCCCTCTTGCTCGTTCCATTGGCTACCTTTTCCTTGGACTCCTGCGTGACTTTGTACTTGTCAGAGCTGCCTCCTTTGCTCCTCCAGTGTCCATGGTGGGAGTTGTTGAACTCACTGTGTGGACCCCCGTCCCCTCTGCCGTGGGGCTTTTTTTGTGCGTTACCCATGTCTCCCCTTTCGGCAGGAGCAGCTGAGCACTCCTCCCCTCCCACAGGCTGGCTGGGTTCAACCGGACAAGCTGGAAAGGGAGAGGGAGAGGGAGGGAGGGAGAGAATCGGAGAGAAGGGGGGAGACACACCCACAGGAAGGAGTCAGCAGTTACATCACAGTGGGGGAGGGTTGGACACACATGACTGATGACACAGAGCCACTTCAAAGAGGGAGTTCCAGGAAGCAGCCACTCTCAACAGTGAATTACGCTGGGTGGGGGTAGGGCGGATAACACACGCATACATAGTCACTTTACCCAGAGGGACTAGGGGTGTTTCTCTATCTATAGCACAGGCAGACAGAAGGGTTTGTGATGAAAATGGGTGCCCTACTATTACCAGACCTAGTCAAGCTTTGTCAAAGGTTTTGTGTAAATCACAGAGTGCTTAGTATGCCAGGCAGCTACAGTGGGGACTAAATCAAGCACAGATATACAGACACACAACAATATGGTGTAAAAATACAAATGACAAATTAAATATTTACAGTACAGAGTATCCAGCAAGTCTGTATACATTAAAATGTCAATGCTGAGTTTTAAGTTCTGTAAAGTAGGGCAGCCATTACTAGATTATTGAGGCAGACTATTGATATTTGAGAAAGGACCAGTGTGGGGGATTCAGTGGCATCGGTGAAGTTACACACTGCAGCCCATTGAATACAGCTCAGTCTTCCAAGCGGGTAGGAGAACCAAAAGGGGGCTGCAAAAACTGTGAAAGGCCCTATCTTGAGCCAGTGTTTGGTTTGTTTGTTCTGTGTTACTGTAGCAACATGACGGTTCAACATGGCGGCCTCCACAGAAGAGGTTGGCGAACAAACGCTCAAACAGTAGGTCTTCATATACAAATTTTTTTTTTATATCATCTTTGTTTAATAAACAAAAGGACAAAAACCTGCTTTCTTGTTATTGAATATTAGCACACATTTGTAGGCCCCTCATTATTTGGTGCCAAATTAAATATATATTTTAAAATATAATTATATTTTTATTTCAATTCTAATTAAAGTCGGAGTTTAAATTGATATGAAAGAATATAAAAATAGTAATAATCTTGCGGGCTGGATTAAACTATATTTATGACATTATGTGTAGAGGGAGGGGGATGGCTCCCCCAAAAACACAATAATTCTTACTCTCAAGTGATTATGAGATGCGCGAAAAACACGTATAGCCTGATCTAGAGTGAGTTTTGGTTTGTCCACTCTGGACTGTAGAAACATGGCAGTTGAACACGGTGGCCTCCACAGAAGGCGTCGACGTCTGCAGATTAAAACAGCTCATTCGGAAGTAACAAAAACATGACAACTCTTATTTTTAGGTGATTATTAACTAATGAAAAATACTATGAATATTATATTCCATTTCTGTCAAAAGATCCTCCTAAATGTTAAACACTGGACCTTTGGTAAATTGGTTATGAGTAAGATGTGTTCAAAGCGGCACATTTAACAGCTGGAACCACAGTTTTCTTTGGTGGAAAATCTTTGTAATGATGACACTGTTTCTAAACGACATCAAAGAAGTTGACATAAAGTGTATATCCACACCAGTATTTATGTGACAAATCTGCATATATGTAATGTATAGATCAGACTCTACTGTAAAACTAAGCAAATTAAGTCTTTTTTTTACCCAACACAGAGATATACTGTAGATCTGCTACATTAGGTTCTTTGTTTGGTTGTTCGTTTCTAATTTGTAAATAAGAGCCCGTTACTCAATGAACTGCTTTGTTACACTAATAACTGCGAAATGCTGCTTTATGCACAACGCATAACTGATGCTGATTTAAAAGGCTGGAACTCTTCTTTAAAAACACTATTTAATTCAACTGTCCATGCTGTGTTAATCAAAGCTAAGAGAACATTACCTTAATTTACATTGATCACAGATAGATTTCTAGATGGATTCAGGGAATTATAAATGGTCACTGGCTTGTTTGTAGTCACTGTGTCTGTAAATCATGAATATAGGTATTGATTATAGAGGCGTTCAAACACTCTCACCAGCCTGTTCTGCTTTCGTGTCATTGTAGCTGTTGTCATCTTCCTCATCTACCTCTTGGATGAGGATTTTCTTGCCTTTGCGTTGCTGCTCTGGATGCTCCTTCATCTTCTTCTCAGTTGAAGACAGAAGTTTCTAAACCATAAATAATTCACACATGAACAGTAGGAGGTGAGAAACAAAGAAAGTGGCACTACTGAAACCACAATCATCCATATACCTCTGAGCTATGATTGGCTTGTGTGCCAATGTGAAAGAGATATCTTCTCCCTCTTCTCCAACAGTACATTTAAATCCCTGATACACAATTAAAGAACAATGTCCTCAAATAACCATATAAAACATAAAAAACACATCCTGTGCTCATCGTCTAACACAGAACAACTGAAGAAGCTACATCACTCTCTATCGACAATAATGACTACGTATGATTTTATTAATACTTTGCAGCAGCTGAAATCTGTTTTTAAGTGCCTGATTGCACACAGATACAGTGACACCTACTGGACAATAAGGCTACTGGCATGCAATAAAAATGCCTCAGTGCTTGTGTATACCTACAGTGGCTGCAGCATTCTGTGGCTCTTCCCTAAGCACCATCCTCAAGTCTTCAGCAGCCATTTGGAAGTTGCCCATGTGATGATAAACAGTAGCACGCCGGAGCAGGGCTGATGATGCAAAATAAATCACACACAGTACATTACATACCACTACTATGCTAATGTGACTACAGTGCTAGAAAGTTGCAAAAAAGTAACTGTTTTTTGAGGTAGTGGCAGCATACAATTATGCCGACATTATAATCATATTTCTGCTTACATGCATCGTCGTAAGTGCGACTGTACAAAAAACAAAAAGAAAGCACCTTTCATATTGCCTGGTTCCAGCTCGAGCACCCTCTGGCAGTCTCCCATGGCATTGTGCCAGTGCTTGAGGTTGATCTCTGCCTGGGCTCTGTTGTTGTACGCAGCAACGGTTGGTATAATGGAAAGGCTCCTGTAATGGAAGGCCAAAAATAAAACAGACCTGTATTTATAATGAGGTTAATGGACAAACACTTAGAGGTACAGTAAATGGAAATGAAATCAGACTTCAGTGAAGGACAGAAGGCTAATTAAATGCTAGGCAACGTAATATAATCCCCTTTAGAGATGTAAATGCTCTCTATAATAAATGAGTTGGTTTAAGAGCCTGACCTGCAATAGTATGCAACTGCCTCCTCATAATCGTTTGCCCTGAAAGCTTCATTGCCTTTGTCCTTTTCCCGGTTTGCCAGAAGGAGCTTCTCCTGTTGTGTCAGCACTATATGTATTGTAGAGAACACACATTTCAGACACATACCCACACAACTTAAGTATACAAAATGCTACACAATGACTACAAAATAAACCTGAGATGCATAACACATAATACGTTACATGAAGCATCCACTTTAGTCTTGATGTTCGGGGGTCCTGTGTTTATAATGACGGGTGGATCCTTTTTGTCCACATTTACGTCGATTCTTTCGCATTCTTTTTCCACATCCAACCTTGAAATAGAGTAAAATACATTCGGGTGAAGAAGGATGCAAAATGATGCTCTAGAACAGCATCGACTGTTTAACCGTGGATCATTATAATGACAGAAGATTAGCTAAAGCCTTTTACAGAGTAAAACGCGTGGAACCTTTTATGTGCAGTGCCTGCAGCTGCTATAACAGTGTGTTCTTTCTTCTGAATATAACAGACAGATGTAGAGACAAAATGACTCACTTGTCCCATTCTCGATAATCACGTGGGAGAGTATGTTTTGAAGAATTCCTCTTTTCTTTTGGAACTGAAGTCTGTGATGACATGAAACTTCATTTATACATTTTGCCTGCATCTATGAATGTATATAGTTACGTACATCGTTGGAGGTCGTTTACCTGAGTAAGTGGAACGGAGCAATTGGAACCTCTTATAGGTGGCACATTTTCTTTCACTACACCATCAAACACTGACTGCTGTTTTAGTGAAGTCTCAGTCTTTTCGGTTTCTTCTTGCCACGTCTGTGAAGAACAAAGTATTTAATATTAAAATGTTTACTACTCATTTTCAGAGAAACTGCCACATAAAAAGAGAGAAGGTATTAAGCAGGATTGTAGAAACTACTACACAATGAGTAGCATACCTTCAACTCATCAACAATTTGGCTCCACTCATCTTTAGGGAGGCTTGCTGCTGTGGCCACAGGGTTTTCCTTCCTGAGAGCTCGGCTCCCAGGGTCCAGTTTCTCCAAGTGACTCTCACAGAACTTGATCAGATGAGGATAAATGCCCTCGTCACCAGACCTTTACACAAAGAAAAAGTGTTACTTTCTAAAAGCCCACATTCCCAGCAATCTTTTCATGCAAGTTTATCAGACTGTTGTGTTTTGCTCTATTATTATTATGTGTGGTATGTAATCTAGTTTCGGTATAGATTTTACTGTATTGAGAGCTCATGGACATACAAAACCAACCCTGGCTCCTCACGTCTCAAGCTCGGTTATGTGGCTTTTACCTCAGTACTCTCAAGATCTTCTCCAGGTATTTTACATTTGTGCATTTTTCAATGTAATCATAGTCCAGGTGCTCCACGGGGACCTTCCCGCTATAGTCAACGGTGGTGGACTGGTTCAGAAGAGGGAAAACTGCATCTGCACTCATGCCTAGGAAGAATTTCAGTTTACTCAGTTATTATGTCAAACAATGTTTATCTGTTAAAGGCAGTAGTTAGCTCTGAATGATAGCTTCATACTTAAATAACTTTCGCTAGCTTACTGTAGTCAGCTCAACCAACGTTATTGTTAATTTAATTTAGATAGCGTTAGCTCAACAGAATGTGATGAAATGTAGGAAGTGACGAATTTATGTTTAGGAAGATTCAGTGATCCTCTTAACTTAATGCTATTAAAATAAAATGAAGTAACTTTACCTGCTGCTGTTTGGCACAACTCTCATCTGCAAAGCGGGGTTTGTTACTATGGTAACCACAGGCGGAAAGGGGCCGCACGACAAAGCGGAAGCACGTGACGCAGTCAACAGTGGGCTCCAAATTTGAAAACGTGGCTGGTCGTTGATGGAGGATGAACATGTAGCAGACACAAACAACGACGAGCCCAGGGGTGTACGCGGAGGCCTGGAACTGAGCCTGAGGAAACAACACTGCAGGCAGAGGCCACGGCCTTTACGTTAACGTTAGCGCAGTTTTATCTGGAAGTAAGTAAGTATGTTTGATGCTAAATATTGTTGTGTTGCTTTTTTATTGCAATTTACGGCACAACTAACGATATATTTTTTCAAACCACCATCTAGCAGTGGCTGTGGTTTTAGGGAGCTAACGTAGCTACGGTGATATATCGTCAATTTGCCACAATATATTGAATGTAAGTTGGTGTGTAACATTAATGTGGCTCCGACCGTCCCGCAATCCTCTTTGCTGGGGGATGAAATTAATCAGCAAAACGAACTTAATAGCTCTTTGATATTAGCTAACGTTAACAGTTAATAGTTAGTTAATTAGTTAGGTGTGTGTACGAGTGAGTTTGTAGCATTGGTTAAGTTACGTTTATCAACGTAGGTTAGGTGACATTACACAGACACTTGTAATATATTGTCAGGTTTTAGATATCAACCCCCTATACAACAGTTAACTCGGTAATTAACACAGGTGTGTTCACATCACGCTAATTGCTCTAACAGCGATGACCGGAGGGACAATACGTTTGGTTTGTATGTAAATTTGACACTTTTGGGTTAACTTTAGTGTTAAATTCGGTAAACTATAAATAAATGTTATTTTGTGCATTGTAACAGTCGTGTCCTCTAGTCAGGGGACGCAGACGGTAGTCCCGCTGTTTTTCATCCGTTAACCAGTGTAAAGTAACTTAACTGGAGATAAAATGGTCTCAAAGTGGCACAGCACCGGGTCGCCTCTCCTATAAATCCTAGGGGTCGTCTGTCGGTCTCTCTGTGTGTGTCTGTCGGTCTGTGTCTGTCTGTCGGTTGTTCGTTTTGGCGGTTAGAGCTCACTTTATAGCGGCATAGCACGCGACGGGGGCTTTAAATTGACGACGCTCTCGTAGCAACGCTGATGACCCAGCTGAGAATGTTTGGTGTTGAACCAGCTGACTGTTCGACAGTGACTGTTTGACTAACTGCTGTCCACAGCACAAACGGTGAGAACGACTGAAAGGGATCTTTATCACTTGGCTCATCTCTTATCACAAAGTGAATCCAACATGGCAACAAAATTAAGTAAACAAACAAGATTTAAGCTGGTTTAGCGTTTTTCTCTTGTGTAATGTGTCCCTAGAGTTCGACTAGAATCACTTTTGGTTGAATAAACTAGTTACCAGTAGAGTGGGAAATTACTTTTAATGTGAACATCTACCAGCAGCTCACAGATTCAAAGTCACTAGCCACTTTATAGTAAACCAGTATTTTGTGTCTGAAATCTACCAGAGACATTAATATTTTAATAACATTTGCATGTTGCTAATTTCCCACCCATACAGGCACCATTTATGCTCCTCAGTTGTCCTTGAGTAGTTTTACTTACTCCTTTTTGTTGTCTGCAGGTCGTTTGACATCGTCCTCACTTGGTGAATACTGTTTGGGAGCACGGAGGAGGAGGAGGAGGAAAATGCAGTGCACTCCTGAATCAAATGTCTACCCTGCGAGCTGCAAAGGCCAGCACTGTTATGACGAGTGCTCGGACAGTGGATACTCGGGTTTATTCCACAGCCCACAGAGCATCAGTAGAGTTGACTCCTGTACGTCTTTGTCTCCAGTAGAATTTAATGAAACGCCTAAAGAGAACCTCAGGCTATCTGTCACACCTAAGGAGAGGACCAGAGAACCAGTCGGCTTTTCCCGCAAGGACTCCAGGGGAACGCAGGGGCCATCAGCGGTCAGCTGGTGTGAAACTCCTAAAAGAGATTCCTCATTGCGACATAGACTTCTAATGTGCAGACCCAGCACAGCTATCAAATCTGACAACACAAGATCGCCATGCACCAGAAAGACTGAATCCTCCATCAGTGTCAGGTCTGAACACTGGCTCAGTGCATCGTTTGACTCTCTAGACACTGTGACCGGGGCTTTGGCATCAAGCACTTTAAAACTGGAGCAGGATCTGCCACTGTCTGGTAGAAAACGCCGTCTCCTCTTCACGCAGGTGAGGACATCTACTCTTGAAGATGGTAAACTCAACTCTGGTTGCCTTTCCAGTTTTGAGAGAAGAGTTTCACTCTCAGTTGCAGATTTCAGTGAAAGCATTTCTGCCTCTGATCAAAATAATATTGAGACTCTGTGCTTTAACAAATTCCTGCCTACCTCATCAAAGGAAAACTCTCAATCACCAATCACCGCTGGGGCAAATAACCTATATGACAGCTCAAGTGTCTTGTGCACACCATCAACCACACACACACACAAATACTTCAGGTATGTGCTTCTTTTGACACACTTTGACACTCTATTAATCAGAAAACATGCATGTGTTAACCCCCTTCTAATCCTGGAACAGGTCTGTGTCTGAAGACAGCGGTTTCAGTTCCCTGACCCTTGATAAATCTCAAGACTCCTCGGTGGACCATGATGGCTCTTTCCAGGAACTGCTGCTCTCTGCCTCCAGAGGAAAGTGTGAAACCCCAAATCTGGCAGAGGCAAAACGGCGCTCCCGTTTGCAGCGCCAGCACCGGCTTTCTACACTTAAAGAAGGGGGCTCCCAGTCTGAGGAAGACCCAACAGACAGAAAGCATCTTCATCAGTGCCACAGCCGTTCTAAAGATGAGGTTTTTGATGACAGTGCCACCCCTCGCAGCGTCCTTTCTGTTAAATGTGGTAATGGCATGGCCTCTGATAGTTTAGCCTCTGCGAAACAAGACTATACCACCCCACTAAGAGCAGCTACAACGAAGCCAGAAAACGTGACACCTTTTAGCACAGCTCCTGCCAACCCAGATGTAACTCCTCTCAGGACAACCCCAGTCAATCTCTCTCTGACTCCAGCTTTGCAGCTAGTTCATGCTATGTGCCAGCAGAAAGCCCAGATGTTTGTCGGCCAAAGTCCAAGTCTGAAGGAGCAGCTGAAGTCCACAGCATCACTGACTGAGACCCCAGTGATGTTCAGGACCACCATGCCATTGGCGGGGCTGATCGGCAGGAAGATGGGCCTGGGGAAGGTGGACATACTTACAGAGCTGAATAAGAGGAACCTCAGGCACATCCTGGCTGTCATACTCTGCCACCTGACCTCTGAGAGCATCTACACGTGAGGAGAAATCTAACTTACTTCAATATTTTAGTTGCATCTACTATATAACTCTGCACACCTGCCTCACTTCTCGAAGGTCAAGTAGCTTGATTCCTAGTTTAATTTGTCATTAATTAAACTGATAATGATTACTTGTGACAGGAGCATTAAGTTATCATATAAACTGTACATGATCCTGTAGAATTCATACAGCATATCATGGATGCTTGGCTTAGACCAAAGTATGGTACATTAGACTAGTCTGATATCTAAATTTAAGCTAGTAAACGATCAAAATCAAGATATGTAACCAATGCAATTTGTAGAAATGTTTCTCTGAAACTTTTAGACTTTTGTTGATGTTTATAACTCAAGACATCAGGTGGTGCAATGAGTGCTGAAAACACTGATCTAATGCATGCATTTTTGTGTTTTTTGCAGATGTGGTCAGGTGTGCAAGAGCTGGAATAAAATCATCAAACAAGACAAGCGAGCTAGTTTTAAGAGAAGAAGCCACCTGAGTGAACTGGAGGCTTCTCTTGAGGTAGGCTGTGTGGTCAGCAGTGTAAAAATAAATTCATCTCAGAGTGACCAGTACAACATAAGTCTTATGTCCAGTGTAAAGAAACATTTGAATGATTGTTTCACTGTCCTCCAGTTTGTCAATGTGTGTGTATATAACTAACTGTGACTAATAGCTGACGTAACCTTTTAACTTTGTGCTGTTTTTCTTACAGCTTGGTGGTGCTGTCCATGTCCCTGATGCAGAGACTAGACTCGCTCTGCTTAAGAGGTCGGCCCTCAAGACTGTTCAGGCCCAGTCTAGGACCTCCAGCTACTGCACCCCGCAGTCAGGAAATAGCACTTTAACCCCTTTACAGCACAGTGCCTTACACTCAGGCAGCAGCAGCAAACGGGAAAAATTCCTAGAAGTGAGTTTTAAAATGAGTGGATTTCCTTAAGTAGATTGTATGTAATAATTGGATCTATTAAATATTAGTTTAAAATGTTGATTCAATGAGGGTCAATGAGGTTTCTAATGTACTTGACTAAAAGAACTGCTCAGGGAGGGTCAAATAAAACATTTACTCAAATTTGTATTTTTTCCTTTAGGTTGCCAAAACCCTCTTCAACGATGAGTGCCTCAAGCCTTGCCCTCGATGTCAGCATCCTGCAAGGTGTCACTCAGTGAAAGGGGAGGGTGTGTGCAGCAGAGCTGACTGTGGTTTCCAGTTTTGCACAGCCTGTCTGTGCGCTTTCCACGGCTCTAAAGAGTGTGGCAGCCAGTCTGTAGGACGACGCAAGAAGGACATACTTCTTCCCGGAAGCGCTCAAAGCAAGCGAAACGTTAGGAGACTATGAGCAGAAAGTGAACTGTATTCCTGTTTGCTATGCCAAAGTTATTTTTTTCTGCTTAATGGCGAATATGAGGCTTAGCAACAAGGAAACTGATTTGTAGCCAGTACATGAGAGCAACTTCTGTACTTATCAATGTGTCTTTGTGCCTGTCTATGTACTGTATTTCACCCCTTTTTTCAACACAGTTCTTACTTGTGTGTTTTTAATTATGAATGTGAAGGAAGTCTCACCAGCAGTACAATGATTGAATTTTGCTGTTGATGTACTTTTCCATTCTTATTGATCAATTGTACATACTTTTTGGAATTTCTGAGATTTTCAACTTTTACCAATGTGTTTTCAGAGCAGTTTTAAAATAAACTTGATTTTTTTTACGTGTGTTTCTCCTTTTTCAAAAATTTGTTTTTGTCTTAATTGTGACCTGTATGAAATCATTTCTCAGTGTCTGGCGCCATCTAGTGTAAGTGACCTTACATTGCCTTAACTGCAACAACAATGTCATTCTCTCATTTGACTTTTTGTACTGCATGTAAGTGATCTTAAATACCAACAGTAATGTAAATTCTGTGTATATTTTAGAATGAAGTTGTTTTGGCGCGTCTCAAACAGCTAGAAGAAAGAGAAACTTGTACTAACTTCCCTGGTTTTCTCTAGTTAAACTTTTACCACCCCCTGTGTTTTGAAAATGAGTCCACTTCCATAGCAACCTGCACTGTGTCTGTAATTACACTGAGAGGTTTGTGGCTGGCCGACTCTTCAAATGTGACTGCCTGACTCGACTTTCTGGGCTACCAGTTTGAAAATACTGTACAGACTTGTATTTTTAAAGTGAACAATGTGTGGAGCAATTTCAACAGGTAAGAGTGTTACTTTTGAGAAACTTCAGTTTACTTTTTTTGAATTTTTGGAACTTATGTTGATTTGGTAATGTACGTTCTTTTGTTTTACTTTCTTTGTGAAGAGTTTTCACATCTTACTGCTGACAATTTCGTAAGTAAAAGTTGACATTTCATAACTTCATTCAATCTTTGGCTTTATCAGAATTTCTAAACTCTGCCTCTTTCTGTGGATGGTCCTTAGAGTAATGTTTGTCTCTATGCAGGAGAGCACTTTGGCCTCTGATGATGTATTGGCTCACTTCTTCAACGATTTCTTAAGTCTTCCGGTAAACTAGTTCTAATGTATTGTATAGTTGTTACAAATTTTTAACAAAACTTTTACACCCTTCATATAACCTTAGACCTTTTCCAGTCTTTCCCAGAATCTCTGCTGTACAACCAGGAGACTGGGCTGTTTGAGGTGGTGAGTGGGGCGGCTGAGTTTGTCTCCAGTAGAATCAAATCAGTCCTACGCTGCAGCAAAGCACTCCTCCTTACCGGTGACCCCACAGCCCTTGCCAGAACCCCTCTAGTAGACAATCGTTACCCTGTCTGTGTAAGCACTGAATAATTCCTTTTATGTGGAAAGCAATGTTTGGATCTGTTTTTGAAGATGAGCAGAAATCTATACTGTAGTCCTAGAGGGTTAATATGTTAATGCTATCTCTCTGACCTTTGCAGTGCCTGGACAGAGAGCAAGGAATTCAGTGGATCATGAAAGAAAGATTGCCCTTTTTCCTTCGAAGCGATTGCTACAGTGAATACAGGTACTACAAATGCTGGGAGTTGTTTTTGGACCTACTGATTTATATCTTTTTACTGTACTGTAATTGTACTGTAACATATTTTACATTATTACTAAACTTAGTGTTAAGTAAGTAAGCTTAGTTTTACTAACCTTGATTTTAAAGATGATTTGCTTCATCAGATGTGATTTTAGCACACATCATTTCAAAGAATACTTGTGAGTGATTATGGAGTGTTAACCCCTTAGTATAATGCAGTACACTGGTTATTGTGTAGCTTTTTGAAATCATTGTATTTGTTGCCTGTTGCCCTATACTTTCTCCTCTGCTTTAGTCTACCTCATTCCTTATGCATCTTGCGAGAAGCCTTAGGGCCACATCCCTGTACAGATCAGATGACTCACACTAACTTACTAACGTACACATAGAAGCAGTGATAGAAAAATAACAATAGCTAAGTTTGTAAATTCAATTAATCATCAAATAATTATTTTTTGGGTCATTCTCAGACTGGCCAAGCTGTTGTTTCAGTGGGACCAACACCTCTGTATCCAGAGGAGGAAAGGCAGCTCAGGTCGAACCACCCTGTCAGCCCCACAACTGCGTTTTCCCTCCCAATTTGACAAGGAACATAACTCATTAAAGGTCCTAACATGCTCACAATCTCAAGACAACATTTCAGCAAAACAAGGTATGTACTGGTATGTTTATCACATCTACTGTATGTGTACACATGTGTACACGCTGAAGATAAGGATCCTTATGTTCTATCTTTCCTTCCTGTTCAGGGTCTGTGAAGATACACAATGTTACATGTCTACCGTCTGGCCAAAAGCAACCTATCAACACAAAATGCAGTGAATCACACAGATGTTTCTCCAGCTTGTCTGAGCAAGAGAACCCATGTACCTATTACTCTTTGTCCTCCTCATCTTCCTTCTCTAAACTTAAATGTGAGAAAACCCAAGAACTCCAGAGCTCACAAACGCAGATGAGCCCCTACGTCACAGCGCCATCAGCTGGCAGCTCAGAGGAGCAACATCTAAGAGAGTCCAGGATCCAGAATTATGAGTCTTCTGAACTACAGCTAGAGTACTTGGCTGCCGAAGTGGTTGAACAGGTGCTTAACAATGCACTGAACATGATGGATAGTCAGAGCCAGGCAAACACTTCTGACTGTTTCAGCAAGCCAGGAGACCAGACAAATTGTACCAGCACAGACAGATGCTGTGAATGTAGAGTCTGCCAGCATGCTGATGGGGACAGAGAAAGATTGGAGGGGAAGAAAGAGAAAGTTCAAGAAGGCAAGAGGAGGAGTGGAGTGGAAGAAAAGACACAATGCTTTACGAAGAATGGGAAGGTGGGGAGTAGGGGCACAGACCAGGAAAATGCCCTTGATATTTGTTGCCATGGTACCTGTTGCCATGGCAACAGACTGGGCTTGGATGAGTTTAAGGAGTTTTTGCGAGGGACGCCAGGAGAGAAACTGCTTAGTCTCTGGATCGATATAGAGAGACTGAAAGCTACACAGAACAGAGAGCGGAAGAACAGGTAAACATTACATCATGATGAAACACACTTTTTGTTTTTCTGATGAACGAAACATGGTCTTTTTACCGTCAATACTAAAATGTATTGATACATCTAATAGAAGTATCAGATGTAATGTAATGTGGTATTTTGATCAGATATTTAGTCCTAATAAGGAGCTGGTACCTGCTGAGCAGCAGCCAGAGAAGTCTAAATGTGGAGCTCCTCTCCAGACTGGGACTGACTACCTCCCCCTGCTGGACAGAGGAGAAACTGTGCTCAGTTCAGCCCTTCCTCACGGAGTCTCTGCTCTACTATTGGTGAGATTCACAATTCACAGTATAGTTACCTAATGTTAAGGCTGTATTTGTGTATGCAATGTTTATTAATATTTTATTGTGTCTATGCATATGACCAGAGTTTGGGTCAGATTCCTTTCAAATGTAGTCAGTTACTAAAGTTACTTACATGACTTTTTTTGTAATTCAACACAGCCACAGAAAATTAAGTTCCACAAATATTATTTTTTCTCTTTTAAAAATGTAAAAACATTTTCAGTGCAAATATAATATTTGTTGTCATTTTACATATTCACCATTTACAGTTCAAGTCAAATTAGCCTTACAAAAACAATACTGCACAACTACAACTGTAATAAATTAAAGAAAGGAATAAAAACTGAATCCATAGATCATCATTAAAAAACAAACACTGATTAGTTATTAGTTATGTCTTATTTTAACAACCCAAGTCATCTATGACAATGTAACTATAATCTAATTACACATTTTTTTAAATGTAATCTTAGCTGTTCATAGTTACTTATTTTTTGCTAATCTGATTACGATTATAATGTTTTTGTACACATTTCTTTAGTAATTCTTTCTCCACTTCCCCCACAGGGCTCCTCGCTTCTGGATGTCCCAAAGTGTTCAGGAAGACCGTGATGACTCCCCTCATCTAGGGCAGTGGACAGAGTGGTGTGATAGCCCTCTATCTATGACCCTGCCTCCCCTCCGCCCTGACAGCTGCCTGCCTCAGACCCCCCATACTGTGCACACACAGGTAGGAGTATTAGGATCCGATACCACTTGGTACATGACAGTTTTAAACTCATTTGTTTCTTCCTTGTGCAACAGAACATTGAGAAATATCTATTTTATGTCTGTTTATGGTGTTTATACAACTATTTTAAAATATTTTGTTTTGAAAATTAAGCTGTGTTAAAATTGTTAACTGTGTACTCTTCTTATTAATGGTTATATATTGTGGGGCCAAGAAAATTCTATAATTATCAAAGTCTTCACTGTATACATACATGATGATATTGACATGATGATATTTTGAAACCTATTTACCAGTCATACAAAAAACAAAACAAAACGTCATATACCGTGAAACCACCAGAATCTTATAAAATACCCTAATACAAATCTTTGGTCATACAGCCCAGCACAACACTGAAGCAACAACACAGACAATGGAGCTCTTACTGTCTGGGTTGTGCTGTCAGTGGCAGTAGGTGGGAACCCTACCTGGCGTGCAGTTAATTGTCCTTTCCTCTGAAGAATATTCGTTGCCCCTTCATTTTACGTAGCGCTGAAACAATTAGTGGATTAATCAGTTTATTGATTAATGGATAGATCTTCAGATATTGTCATTTATAAAACAAAAAAACAAAAATGCCAAACATTTGTTTCCAGCTTCTCCTCTGAGGATTACATTTCTCTGTTTCTTTCTTTTTTTTTTTAATATTTCTTGGCTGTGGCTGGGCTTTCCCTTTATTAGATAGGACAGCTGAAGATAGACAGGAAAGGGAGGGGGGATGACATGTAGCAAAGAACCCATGGCCGCTGCAGCAAGGAGCCAGCCCTGGCATATGTGGCGTTACCTCTGTTTCTTTCTTTTATATGATTACAATTTGAGATTTTGGACTGTTTTTTGGAAAAAATAAGCAATTTAAGACATCATCTTGGGCACTATGAAATTGTGATGGGCGTTTTTCAGTGTTGGTGCACATTGTAGTGACTAAACAATGAATCAGCAATAATGAAAATAATCATAAGTTCCAGCCCTAGTTTTATTATTTTTTAATTTTTTATAAATTGTTGTGTTGATTGAATTAATTGTGTTTTCTTCTTATCTCATCAGTTATATTCTAGCAGAAGTCAGATGCTGGGCAGCAGAGGAGTGGAAAAGATGTTGCAGGCTCTTTGTGTTGACTCATGTGCCGGCTTATACTTAACAAACTTCTGTGAACAATCTGGAAACCAGGTGGAATAGCAGCGACTGGATTGTTAGCTCTTCTTTCTGTATAGTCCATCACATTTAAAGGTCCAGTGTGTAACATTTAGGAGGCTCTATTGGCAGAAATTGA